TGCCAGGTCTTGGCTTGTCAAAAGGAGGACCCACTCCATCTGCTTTTGCTGCTGCACCACTAACCCTGAAGTCTGGATTCTGCCGCCAACCACCGGATGTAAGCTGTTCTCTCAAACACAGCTCCCTAACAGGGATTGGGTTTTGTTGGGGAGGGAGGAGTGACGACAATGCTTAGGAATGCCAGAGCTGGGATAGATGCATAACTTTGTGACTGTTGTTGTTCGCTGTCAGCCTGTCAGTTCTGACTCCTGCGGAACACCTGCTCCCCTGGGTTTTCAAGGCTAGGACATTTCAAGGTTAGGACATTTTCAGAAGCAGAGCACCAGTTCTTTCTTCTGAGGTGCCTCTGGGTGGGTTGGAATCACCAACCTTTAGGCTAGTAGTTGAGTGCTTAGCTGATTACAACACCCAGGGACTCCATTCAATTTTGTAAAAATTTTAGAACACACTGAATTGTGCCCCTTCAAAGGGTGAGTTTCATGGTATGCGAATTGTGTTTTGGTGAAGCTCTGAGTGTATATAAAACTAACGACCTAACTTCAAGATTCCATGGGTTTGTCCTCAGCCTTGCTTCTCGGATCTTTCTACAGCAGCAGACACTGATGACTCTCACATGAAAGCCTCCCTCGGTCATGGCCTGCTCTTTCTGGACTCTTCCTATGGCTCCTGGTTCCTCTTTCTTCTCCCACCTCCTACATGTAGGTGATCCTCAAGACTGAGTCCTTGATATTCTCATCTAGAGATCATCTCAATGAGCATATCTGTTTGAGCAAGTCCCACTTGAGATTCCTAGCCCGATCACTCCCCTCACAGTATCACCAATGGCATGTGGGACATCTCCCTCAAGAAATTGTATCACCATCTTAGATTGGTCATATCTAAGTCGAACCCGTGGACTACAGAGTCCCTGTACCAACAAAGAACTGGTCAATGTTCAACCATTTCAAGAGGTAGCATATGATTAAGACCCAATGGTACTGAAGGAAGAAGTCCAAGGTGCACTGAAGGTCCTGGCATTGGCATGGGCAAAGAATAAGTCTCGGGAATTGATGGACTACAAATTGAAAGATTTCAACAAACTGATGCAGCACTGGAGGCACTCACTCATCTATGCCAAGAAATGTGGTCAGTTGATTGAAAGAGATCCATATTTGTGCCCATGTCAAAGAGGGGTGACTCACTGGAATGCAGAAATCAACGGACAATATCATTATTATCACATGCAAGTAAAATTTTGCTAAAGATAGTTCAAAAACATCTGCAACCGTACATTGATAGGAGGCTGCCAGAAGTTCAAACAGGATTCAGAATAGGACTTCGAACTAGGGAAATCACTGTTAACGTCAGATGGATCGTTGTTAACATCAGAAAGCAGAAAATACCAGAAAGATGTTTCCTGTGCTTTATTGACTATGCAAAAGCTCGGACAGATTATCAGGAGTGGTTAATAGGTCCCTGGAGAAGGACATCATGCTTTGTAAAGTGTCCCTTTATCATGTTTAGTAAAGAGGAGGGTCAGCGAAAAAGAGGGAGACCCCAACAAGATGAATTGGCACAGTGACATCAGCAATGAGCTCAAGTGTAGCAATAATTGTCAGGATGGCGCAGGACTGGGCTGTGTTCTGTTCTGTTCTGTTGTGTGTAGGGTTGCTATGAGTCAGAACCAACTACCTGGCACCTAACAACAAGTTGAACCCATGGCCTTTTCACCACAGACATGATCCTCCTTTTGACTTCCTAGTTCTAAATGGGATAGCTGCAAATGTTTCTAGAGGCTTGGAGTTGCATTAAATCTGGAACCTTATCCCAGCTCTAGTCCTCCAAGCCTGACCTTCTCTGCTTCTGCGCTCCGATTTCCAGGAGCTTCCGTTTCTCTGATGGCCTCATAGCTCACCTTTATCATTCCCCAAGCCTTGCTTATACTAGCCTCAGGACCACAGATTCCAACCCTCCACAGAGAGGGCCCTGAAGGGGCACCTCATCCAACCTAACACAGGGCCTTTGGGACAGCAAGCTGGCAGCTCTGAAGGGGCCCCTCCAGAGACACGACACTTCCCCATGTGTGAAACATCCCTTAGGATGCCCTTCCTTCCTGCAGATTGTCCTTAGTTTCCCCAAGGATATTAGATTTGAAGAGAACAATGGCTTAATTGGTCAGAGAGACCAAAGACAGACAAAAGCATGAAGTTTATTAACTGGTTTAGCAAGATCTTGGCTCCTCAGCTGTGCTGGACAGCCTTGGGCATGTTAACCTCTATGCACTTCATCTCCTCATCTATGAAATGGGGATAGCAGGACCTTTCATGCAGTTGTTGTTGTTGTTGTTAGGTGACATAGAGTCGGTACAGACTCATAGCGACCCTATGCACAACAGAATGAAACACTGCCCGGTCCTGGGCCAACCTCACAATTGTTGCCACGCTTGAGCCCACTGATGCTGCCACTTTGCCAATCCATCTCGCTGGGGGTCTTCCCCTTTTTCTTTGAACCTCCACCTTACCAAACATGATATCCTTCTCCAGCGACTGGTCCCTCCTGATAATATGTCC